CTTTGCTGCTGTTGTTTTTGAGAGGACGTGTTCATATCTCAAGTTGTGACCATATAAAATCATGTCAATGTAGAAAAGACACAAGAAAAGGCAAAGTTTTCGAGCATCTGTTAAACTGATGCTCAACTTCTGCCTTGACTTGGACTGCCCCGAAATAGCTTAAAAAAAAGCATTCTTTCTCCTTCAATGTTTATCTGTGGTGAAATAATTTCATACGAAGAACACCTCCAGATTCTTCCAAAAACCTTCTCTCAAATCTATCAAACCTGTGAGTGACAGCAGATAACACTCCTGATTGAAAATTCCTCATTGAACCTTGGCGGTCCCAGTTCCATAATACACACACACAGGCCGATCATTGAATGGTGCCTGTGAGATGAGCTGAGCTGCACTTCAATGGAAGATATTTTGGGTTTTAATAGCTTCTCTGGGGCACTTGTGGTGGGGAACAGGTGTGCTGGTTGTTGGAGGGGGTCAGCTAAAAGGACAGTCGAGTGCCAGAATGACAAAATCAGTACAAAGGATTATTACTGCACAGGGGGAAAATTCAACATAATGGTTACATTAGTGTGCACTCCCATTTTTATCTGTAATGTTTATTTATAGCCCAGGTTTGCTCTTTACACAGGTTTTTAAAACTTTTCTAACATTTAATTAGCATGCAGTATGATTTGTGAGTCAGTTATTATGGTAATGTTGAAACAATAATCGTTCAGCTAAATGCAAAATGATAGGAAATGCTTTTTTCCTTTGGACAAATCAGTCAACACAACAAGCCTGCACTGTAAAATCTAATTAGTTCACAGAACTCAAAAAACCATGTAAACTTGTTGCCTCAAAAAAATTGAGTAAAGTTTTACTTAAGATGATTAAGTTAGGGCAGCTTACCCATTTTGAGTACACTGTACAACCTTGTTAGTTCCCAGAACTCAAAAAAACTATGTAAACTCGTTGCCTCAAAAAAATTGAGTAAAGTTTACTAAAGATGACTGTTAGGACAGTTAAGGCAACTTATTCACTTAGAGTACAGAGTAAAAACCTATGTAGTTTCCAGAACTCAAAAAAATATGCAAACTCGCTGCCTCAGAAAAACTAAGTAAAGCTTACTTAAGATGACTGTTAGGACAACTTATTCATTGCAAGTCTGCAGTATTAAGAATAACTTGATATTTCAGGCTGTACAATACTAATTGTTTACCTACTGACAAACATTTCAAGAAGAAAAAAAAAGTTATGTTTTTTAGCGGCGCTCCTCCGCCATTGCCGGGCTTACAAGTACGCACAGGCTCCAGCAACCATGGCTGACAAATGCATTCTCCTTTTCCCCAGACTACCCTTTCTGTCACAAAATAACCTTTTAAGATATTTTCAGGCAAAAAATGTAGCTGTGTAATGCTCAAATATCTACTTAATTTTTCAAAATATCACATATTTGCAAAAGTTTTCAGAGAGCTCCATTATCTACCAGCGCGATAGCTGACCGGGAGGTCAAGGCTTGATAGAGTCCGCGAGCACAGCTAACTCCTGGCCTGTGGTCTTTTGCGATTCAGGTTAAACATGATATATATAGTTAGTTACTTATGGCTATGGATTGAAAATACCCCCACACCCCTCCCCTAACGGCTGGTTTTTAAGGCTGTGGTGTTAATTTTTAAGTAACATGAGCCCAGCGGCAGCAGCAACGCTAGGCTAACACTAACTAGCTAGCAAGATTATAAACCTGGTGCTAAACTAAAAGAAGCCACAAAATCAGTTTGAAAAAGAGTAAACATTTATTCACCAAGTCAGTGTATCAGGTAAAGATGCACAGCAATGACAACAATAATATCTTGAACTGAGCTTCTCCAGGTTTGCTCAACATATTCCATAACAAATGCTGCCACCATGAACATGCGGACTGATCCCAGAGGGAGGAGGACGGTAGTCACGTGGCATTTTCAACACACATCTTTCATCCTTCGCACTGAGAAGCAAAACTTACCAGCTTACTTAGTTTTTCTAAGTAAAGAAAACTCAAATAAATTGAGTTTATCAGCGTTTTTACATAAAAAAGTACTGGTAACTTATTTAAATCGAGTTCTAATAACAAATTGATAAAAACTGAGTTCAGCTTATTTAATATTTTTAATTAAACACAATATTAGTTTTTACAGTGTGAGGAAACTTTTGGATCACATGCTTTGTTGAGCCTTGGATCTCCTGACTGTGAGTCAGTGGGATTCGCATGTGTAATGCAATATCTATTCTGAGCATATTAGACCTTGCAGATTCAAAATAACAATTTTTTAACAATAACAACTAAAGTGAACCAAGAAGACCGGTTTGGCAAAAAAGAAAAAAGAAAGAAAGAAAAATAAGAAGAAAGAAATATAAATAAATGCTGATGAAAAGGCAAACAAATAAACAAACAACAAAGTTTTAATAACTCTGGTGGGAAGTAAACATATCTTTTTTAACATTTTTAGGACGATAATACTATTGAGATTAAAAATATCATTGGCAGCAGTTCAGAAAGATGTGGTTACATAACAATAACACCAACACACACAAATACACACTGCAAAATTCACCAAGAAAGTTCACACATATACGTAAGAGTGCGATACAAAAGCATCCAGACTAAATTAAATCAAAACGTCAGAAATGTAATCAGCACAAACACAAGGAAGCAGATGCAGTAATGTTCATAACATCTGCTGACTGAAATATTATCTGAAGTATAATATGTAATATGAAGTATTATCCTCCAGGGCTCTTAAAATGATCTTAAATTATTTTAGTATGATTCAGCTTCAAACCTTCATCCTTTGAAATTCTGTAGAACACAATAAGCAAAAATTTAAAAAATTAAAGCACAGTATACCATATAGTATATTAAAGAATATAATCACGTGAATCACCTGATAGAAATAAAAATGAGAAAAAACAAAAGAAAAGCTAAAAGTGAGCTGATGTCTATTAGCATAATACATTGTTTTTATTACACTGTAATAAGTTTATTCTTGTGCTGTTGTTTTATAATTGTCAGTAATATTGTTAGCAGAGCTCGAAACAAATATAACTGCTGTATATTCTTGTGTTATATTGTAGCTTTAAAAAAAGACTCTCGGAGTGTAATTATATTACTAGTTTTGTCCTGACATTGGCTTTGTAGATGTTAAATACACCAGATTAAATTAAAACCTGGTGAAGCTGCGTGTTACAGTAAGTCTATGAATTATGACTTTTTGTATTTTCTTTCATGTAGATCACACACAAGTCTCCATATTTATACACACTCACACTGACATACCACCATACCGGGAACAAACTATCTGACCTTTGACCTCCAGAATTTGGGCAGCCGTTGAGGGATTGGGGAAGTTCATAGCTTTACATTCCACTCATTGGTTGGTTTCATTTGTTTACTCATTCAATTAGCAGGAAGCAGCAGTTGTTACATTCTCAACTGTGACTTCAACCACAAGGAAAACTTCAGCTGGGAGCAATGACAGCAGCTCTGCACCATCATACTCACCATAAAGTCTTACTGATGGAAGTTAACATAACCGACTTGTCAGCATAGTCTTTGTTTAACCCAGTATCATTGGGTATTACACTGATTTTTAATTTGGGGAAATATCATTTTCAAAAATCATGGTACTTACTATACAACGTACAAAAGCAGAAACCTAATTTCCCATGTTTAAGAGAAAAAACTAAATAAAACAAAAACTCACAACTTGATATGGTGTTGATTATTGATTAGCGTATTATTATTGTTAATAATGAAAATAAGAATAAAGACAAGTTACCAGGTAACCTGGTGCCACATAGGTTCCCCACAGACCCACCGCAGTGTCTGGGTAAAAATACACTGCTCAAACACAACATTAAAAGCCACATGTCTCCGTACAGTGTCAGCCCATTGGGACACGGGACCTCTGAGGTCATCCTGTGGTGTATGGCAGAGTTACAGCAGGTCCTTTGGATCCTGTGTTTTAAAGTCTCACTTCAGCACATCTATATGTTAGAAACAAACAAAACAAACAAAAGAATGTCATGTCCCAAGGTTTTCAGCAGAAGGCAAGCGGCACTGTAAAATGAGACAGATCAGTTTAAATAAATGGCATTTATATGGCACTATGTTGAAACATCAGTCGTCTCAAGGCGGTTTTGTATGGTAAAATATTAATGAGAGCTCCCCTAAGACTTAGATTAGACTTGAGCACCACTTGATGATGGTAGGGAGGAAGAATGACCTATTAACAGGAAATGACCTCTGACCGATCTAGGTTCAGGATGTTCATGTCACCTTTCTTTAATGATGTGGCTGCCAGTGTAGTTAATTTGGACCAATATGCTAATACTTGACTCTATTTTAAATTATTTGAAGACATTTACACCCAACACTCCCAACAATGCAGACAAATCCAGAAATTTTAGAATAAAGTCATCATTATTACCCGAGGGATGAATAAAGTTTTATCTTATCTTATTAAAAAGTTCCTTACAGACATGAGTTTGTCCTCACAAGTGAAATATTTACAAAATTAATTTCATAATAATTTTAAATAAAGTAACTAAATAGACATTTGACAGTATTTTGTCGCAGCATCATTTTCAAGGTCAACAATGAACTTTTATATGTTTTGTATTAATGTTCATGTGAATCACAGCAGTGCTTAAATATAGTCACTTAATTGGAAATAATGAAGGAAGAAGTTTTGTAAAAAAAAAAATAAAAAAAAATCCACGACTATAATTACAGAGTTTTCATAGAGCACAGTATAATAGTATAATTATCAAAACTATAAGTGAAGATTTTTTCATTTTTTCCAGCAGACGCCTGAGCTCCGCGCTTCAGCGGTGTCCTTTGGTGTTCAGTAATTAGAAGCCCATTACGGCGGAGGCGGAGCTCTGTGCTCGGATTGGTAGGAAGGAGGTGTCAGAATGGGTGTGTGGCGGGAGGAGGAGGAGGGTTGGAAGCTGTAGGGGTTCCCTTCAGTGTGAGTCCAGTGCGTAAAGAGCGCAGAGCGGCTCAACGGAGAGAGTCTGAGAGTGTGCCGCTTTCCACCACTTCCTGGATTACTGTTTGAGCTCCCTCCGACCATACACGCTCTATCAATGAAGCTTGGTTCTTATCCGTGATTTCTTCGCCATGAGCTGCCTGGATGTGATGTACCAAGTGTTTGGTCCTCAGCCTTATTTCAGCTCCTACAGCCCCTATCACCACCAGGTACGGAACACACAGACATAAAGTGTTTTATAAGACTTATGTCTTCACTTTAGGCTGCAAGCCACATGCAGAAACTTTATTTAAGGTCAATAAAACTTTATTACGCATACATCCAAAAGATAAAGGCCATTAAAGCGCACAATCGAAACTTACAGCCCTTAAAAGCACTTTTTAAAAACAGCGCGCATTTAAAATGTGTTAAACAGACAGTTAATCACCGCTTAGGATCTTATAAAAATGACTGTATCACTGCGCTACCTGCTGCAAGGCTCAAACTCGCTACACAAAACGTAAAGTGTAAAGAAGTTTAAAACTCAATTTTGCGTCAACAGTTTATGTTGTTTGCATTTATGTCACTGTTAAGTTATCTCATAGGTTATATATGTGGTATAGAGTCAATTGCAGTATTAGATAAACATTCTAATTTAACGTGGTCAAAAGTACAACTAAAATAAAATAATGATTAAAAAAAAGATTTAATGAAGACTTATTTGCTTTACAATCTTTTATCTCTTTAAGTGTTTTAAAATGTATTTATTTATTTATTTTCTTGCCTTGAAATATTTTTATGTGTATTCAGACTGCAACAGACATTATTTGCTACTCGGGTTTTATCTTTAAGTGCAGTTAAAGTAACATCAGTAAGTTTAAAGTAATATTGTCACTTTTTGAAAGTATATCTCAGATTGTTCTCAGCTTAAATGTCCTTCATCTACTAACAAAACTTTTCATATTATATTTGCTTCTGCCAGGGGACTTCTGAAGCCTGCAAGGGTCATAAGTTAGAGAGTGACTAGTTTTAAACAGGCTTTTCTAGACCTGTTAAAGAGCTTCTTTTTTTACTCTTAAAAACTCTCAGTCAACATCTACACATATTTCGCATAGTGCCACAACTCACTTTGTCTGGTCTAAACAGCCTGGGGATGAGCCTGTTCCAGCTACGCCACATGATTATAGTCTAGATTTTCAGTGCTTGCTAGACAGCAAATTCTAATCCTTTATTTTGTTTAGTCATTTAAACTAAATTCATCATATAACACAGTAATTATATATGCCCTGATGTTACTTAAGTCATGTACATATTGTTTTAACACTGTTATTTATAGATTTTTATTTGTAATTATCAGTTACTATGCACACCTTTAATGCATTATTATATTTAAAAACAACCACTTCACTTCACATGTTGATAATATCAGCATGTTCCAGTTTATTCATTCATACCTGGACGTATTAGGTGGGTTTTTTAAAAAAAATGACCAAACACTGCAAAAAACTTTATTTTTTAAATTTCGAAATTAATGCCAAATTTGTAAGTTATTATATTTAGACAATGCAGTCTCAGACAAGCAGATGTTAACTGGGTTCTTTCATCTTCCTCTAAAACCTGCTGTGTCCTTATAGAAATATATTTTTGATGTCAAATGTCATGTCAATACAAAAAATTATATATGCCTCAGAAGCATGAATATATTGTTTTATTACAATCATATAAATATATCTGTGTCCTTTTTAGAAGTTGGCTTTGTATTCCAAAATGCAAGACCACCAGGACAGCGGCAGCCGGCTTGGCCCCCCAGCGATCAAAGAGGAGGACAAGGAGCTGCCGCCCGGTGCCGAGTACCTGAGTTCCCGCTGTGTCCTCTTCACTTACTTCCAGGGCGATATCAGCGCGGTGGTGGATGAACACTTCAGCCGAGCTCTCAGCCAGACGAGTGCATACCCCGCGTCGAGCAGCCACAAGGCCGTAAGAGGTGTGTAGTGTTTTTTTTGTATATATGTATGTATGTGTATACATACACACACATGTGTGTATTAGTGGATTGTTTTGGATTATTTTAGAGTTGTCAGTATTTTGAGAATTGTAGGCAACATTTCTCAACATTTCACATTTCTACTCATGAAATGCCTTAATATTCTCAGGTTGTGTGGTGTGTGTTCTTTTTTCTGATGTTGACATTGGCGGGCTCAGCGTTGTGGCCCTTTTCCGCTGGTGATACTTAAATATTCCTGCATATTTGCCACTTATTTCTTTTAGTGGAGTTTTATGCTGCTTTTCATTGTCTTTAAATATTAAAGTGATTGAGTAGAATCAATTATGCCCCAGGCATCTATTTACATGCACTGGTGTGATATTTTTAAATGTGTAATGTCAACTCCTCCAAATTTTTATAGTGGTTTTTTTTTTTTAGGAATTGTCCATGTGTATAGAAAGGATAATGGAAAGTTGTGTGTCACGTATGTCCCCAAAACGTGTGTATGTCTTTACAATTGTAGGATTGATTTTAATGCCACCTTTTGCTGTGAACCATCACTAACGATGATGAAAACTGCTATTTAACTTTAGTGGTAGAAAATTACAAGTGAAATAACTGATAGTATTTATTTATTAAATATAGGAAACATTATACATATGATGAATACAAATAGTATGATAAGTAGGTATTCAATAAGTAGGCGTAATTCAGCCTGATCTTGTGAATAAAAAGAAGAATTTAGTCTATAAAGAAACGCCTCTGAAACAGCTTTCAGATTATTTAGAGGGAGAGACGTGTTTCATATGTACCACAAGTGTGATAATGGTCCACTGTGCAAATATCTTAAAATGAAAACAGAAGTTTTACTGACTATTACAGTAAAATCACATAAATAGAATCATTTTTTATTAAAAAAAACATCATGCTCACCATAATTATATGTTGTGTCCTTCTAAGGGGGGAAAAAGTTTTTAATTGAGCCTTGACTTTGCAATTTCCAAGGAAAATTCAGTGGAATAATACTGCTTCAACACTACCGTGACTTCATCAGAGTCAGAGGCCCAATTACAATCTGGCAGCTACACCCCCCTCCCTGCATGCTTTCAGTCCCTTTGCGCCTTTGCGTGGACAGTCCCCCACATTAAGTGCTATTCCAAACCAATTAGCCGTGAGTGGAAGTGGGTTATAAACCCACCAAAGCCAAAGCTGCACCAGTGCAGGCTTACTAACCACACTCTGTGAAGGAAATGAAATGAAATGGAGCAGTTGCATTTTCCAATAAGTAATGGACCCGATCTTAATACATCCAGTCACTCCAGATGCTGATTACAAGTTCCTGTTTTGAGCTGAGAAAGGCGAGAACATCCCAGAGGTTGCCGCTACGATTCTACCATATCCATTAATTAAGCGATCCTTCAGCAGCCACAAGTGTGACTCTTCGTGGAGTTACACTTGTGACGGAGCGGGAGTGTGAAGGGGCCGGATTGGAATTGGACCAGAGCACAAAAACACAAAGCAAACTGATGATCAACCCACGCCTGATCTAATTGGTTTAGGCTAGAATTCTCAGGAAGTAATGAATCCAAGACAGGGGGAGGGGTTTCCATAATTGGTGCCCAAGTGCAACGTCCCCAACACCATAAGAGAAAGAAGACGATGCAGATAAAAAAAAATACTAAAAGAATTCAGTGAATTTTACGAGTCCCAAAGGAAATATGAGAATGAAATAACTCAACTACACCTGAGCACTCATGTCTGAATTTGTATTTTTTATTGTGTAAACTATGGGAACGAAAAAGAGATGATAACAAAAACATATGACAATATGTTAAGAAATCCACATTGTGTTGCTGCCAGTTATCTAATTTGGAGTGATTTAAAATATATGCAACAACAGGAATACCTTTATAGGGTCAGATTAAAGATGGTGAGAGCTACATATTTATCCAAAGATATAAATTCAGTGCACAATTAAAAGTATTTGCCAGGAATTTTCTCATTTATTTTTTTGTATATCGCTTTTAATGACATTACATCTATCACAGGTTTCGCTGAAGTGAAATCCTTTTTAGGGTCACGTTAACCGGTGATTCTTTCCATCAGCTAAAGAATTAAAAGAAACTGAATTGGTATCCCCATTAATATTCAGTTTTAGCTGTGTAAACATAAAGGGATGATAAAAGCCGACATAACAATTATTCACAATTATTATTATTATTATTACTCAGCAGCGCTTGCTTTAAAATTGCATCGACTATTTTGCAGTCATTGATTATCTTGTACATAAAATATCAGAAAAATGTGAGAAATGACCATCACAAACACCACATTGCCAAGAACACAGCTTCAAATTTCATTTTTAAACTGTCTAAAAAAATAAACTGATTCCACTTGCAGTGATATTAAAGAAAGAAAAGCAGCAAAATTCACATTAAAGGAGCTAAAAGACTGTATTTTATGCTTTTTTGCCTTAAAAAGATGATCAATAAGTTGCGATAAATTCAATACGCATACCATAAATTATGACACTAAAATGATCCTTGTTTCAAAACAACAGTCAAGAATGAACCTTCAACCACAATGTGTTAACATTATTCAAGCTACATACTTTTTAAAAGTCTAAATAAGTAGGTGTGACATACTTATGAAATGAGTTTCCTTTATTAATGTGCATTTCTGTCTTCACAGATGGATCCTTTCCTATGAGCCAGAGAAGTTTCCCTCCGTCTTTCTGGAACAGTTCCTACCAGCCGTCAGTCTCCTCCACACTGGGCAGCGCTCTGTCGGCTCCCCACACAGAGCTCTCCTTTCCAGGTGACCCTTACTCCTCTGCCTCCCTGCACAGCCACCTCCACCAGTCCAGCCCCGATGCCTGGCACCCATCCCACCACCACCACCATCACCACCATCACCCTTACTCGCTAGGAGGTGCTATAAGCACCCAGAGCTCAGCTTACCCACGTCCAGGTGTTCACGAGATGTACGGCACAGCGTTCGACCCACGCTACGGCTCGCTGCTGGTGCCGTCAGTGAGGTCGCACCACCGCCTGACGTCCGGCAGCTCGGTACCGGGGCCCAGTGGCTCTCCCTGTGACCTCGGGGGTAAAGGGGAATCGGGGACGGGGTCGGCCTGGAGCGGTGCCTTCACGGGGGCAGGAACAGAGATTGGACTGAACATGGACACAGGTACTGCCAATTTTGAAGTTGACTTATTTTAGGATCTGCATAGAAAACTGCATCTTCTGTCCTTCAGGTAACAGAAACTTCAACTCAAGTGGGCACTTGAGCTAAAATAGACAGAAAAAAGAAGAAACAGCTGGATGATGAGGATCTGTCCTCATCAGAATTGCAACAACTGTCATATGCACTAAACAAATTGAACTAACAATAGACTGAACTGGAGCACACATAGAAACTGTTTTACAACAGTTTCTCTGCACAGTTATGACAAAATGACTTTTACACCAGCTTTTTAGTCAGCAGCCTATTTTTAGTAAAACAGTGATAAAACAATGATGAGCTTTGTGCTTGGGGAAGAGAGGCCCAGCAATTCAACAACCAAGTTTAATCAAAAATCTCAAATATTTTTGTTTGAGTAGAACTGCTTTCTTTGTAAAATATTTCCAAACCAAGCACTGGAAGGTAAATTTTGCAATAAAAAACCCCCTCAATTTAATTTTTGGATATCTTCTTGTCATCGCATTAGTTAAAAATAATCCTTTAACATGCAAAATTTAACATTTTTAGATATCTAAAGTTATTTGAATCCTATTTAAGGCCTTAGCTTTCAGATTAAGATGTATTACGCTTTCTCTATTAATGCTCTCTTAGCTTTTGTTATGAAACAATGCAAACTTCATGAATGGTTAGAGAAAAAAAAGGAATTAATGGCAGAATCCTGCAGTGGGTAAGGTTTAGTCTGCTTGCTTTGCCTCAGGGGTCGATGGCCAGTATTTTGGTGAGTTATGATGAGGCCCTCAAATTGCATGTCGGCTGGTCATTGTTTACTTAAAATGTTAGCTTAAATAAAGAGAGACCTGTTATGTTTTTCTTTATTTACTGTCATACATATTTTTGTCAGTATATGAGCCAAAAGCTCAGGTTTATTACTGCTCTAAACACTTGATTTTTGAAAGTTCTTCCTAGTTTTAGGAATGAGTGTGGATATCCAAAAGAAATCCTAAAAGAAAGTTGGCTTAATCTGCTTGTGTAAATCATCCAATACTCTAGTACTGAGTAATAATAGGACTGAGAACTCCTCGGATATCAAAGATCTCAGAAAGAGCACGACCTTTAATTGGAAATTGAGATAAAAATGTTTTCCCATACTAAGAGATTCAAAGCAAACACATAAGAATAATTGTTTTATATTGATTTGTTGTTGTGAGGTTAGAACAGAACAGTCTTAATACAAATTGCAGACTGGATTGATTTAAATGCTGCGTCGCATTCTTCTCATTGGATTTGTTCTCATTGGTAATTAGTATTGGTGAAAGACACCGAGAACACACGTATCTGTGAAGTGTCAGTTACTGGATTTTTTTCTTTTAAATACTGTTTGAGAAGAATGAAAGGCTCGGGAAAACTGTGTAATGAGATGCAAGGTTAACTTGTTATGGGGCTGAAGTAATTGAAACAAAATCAATCAATTGAGCTTAAGATGTGAGCTTACACTTTGACTTCGAGTCGATGAAAACCACCCGTGAAAACCAGTAAGTGACATTCATATTGACACTGATATCAGTCTTTTAAATGGATTTTCTGCTGTCTATATTGACATGCTAAACCTTTGCTGCTTGTTTGTGCAGATGTTGAACTTGGTTTGTCAAAAAGCGCACTCATTTAGAAAACTAATTAATAAATGAGGCTGCTCTAGCATTCATTATAACATTCTCTTTCTGTGTATCTCTCAGTATCTAATTGGGGGGGAAACAGCTTTAGTAACATACTGTGAAAAGCAGAATGAAATAACGATCTGTTTCCCTGCCTGAGATCAACTTACACAAGTGGTTTAAACCAACAAACTGGCTGTCAATCAGCACCTTAACACCAGCTGTCAACTTTCTTTTCTGTTGTTGTCGCGCTTTCATCCCCCTCTGCCTCGGGCAGTTCCTTCTGCTTTTATCAACAGGGCATTTGCGCCTCGTTTTCTAATCTACCTTCTTTTCGTCCCTTTTCCTTCTCTGCCTTTTTTTCCTGCTTTTCTCTCCTTTTCTCTCAGGTCTGCCAGCACAGGATAAGAGCAAGGATTTGTACTGGTTTTAGAGACCACTGAGACCCCCCTCCCCCCTCTTCTTGTCTACTACTTCGGCTGTAGCCGCTTTCCTGCCCTCCTGCTCTACTCTACTGCTGTTGTGGGATGACTGACAGATAAATTGACAGATAGACAAAAACAGTGAGGCAGCAGTTTCTTTTTCCTGCTGTAACGGCTTCTGGTTTACTTGCAGCTCTGTGTTACGGCGGACTGTGCAGCAGCAGTGCAGCCCTGCTGAGCTGAACGGCAACAGTGTGGATACACAGCGAACATGGAAACAAAAGTGGACTCGCAGAGGGGAGAGAGAGAAAATATGATCTTGATGGATATGGACAAAGACAAGACTCTTTGTGCTTCTGTAACAGGCAGGGACAACATTCCTAAAGTGGAAAAAGTCTTTGGACAGACGGACAGAGACACATGTGCTGTCGGACTCCAAAGACTAGCGCCTGAAAAGACTTGGCAGGACTTGCCTCACTGGGGCAACTGGGCTCAGACACTAGGAGTGTGTTATGGCTGGAGGAAAGGCCACGCTGGTGTCAAGGAGGCAGCACAGCAAGATTTTGGCAGAGAGCGAAGGGAGGAGGACAAACTTTTTGGGTATACATGGAGTAATGTTTCATCCGGCACAACACAGTACACATTAAATGTAACCTGAATGAATGCATTTCAACTGATATCAAAATATATTTAAGCCATGATTACAGCTTCAAAAATTTAAAGAGGCATATTTTTCCTGGCTTGTAGCGCTAAATATCCATCTTAACTGTTTTGATGTGAGATGCCCAGTGTTTTATACATCAGCTGCCTTCTCCTAAAATTGCACTAAGTGACAATGTGGTGTTTAAAGTGGCAGACATAGCAGCAGTATGTCATTCCAGAAAAAATGAGCACATCATTTTTTTTTTTTAATCCACCATCTAGAACTATTTCCTGTCTACCAAATTCAGGCCCTGTCTTTTCTTAGTTTTTTTCCCCATGTGCCACATGGAAACTATGTTCAGCAGGTGTAGCTTGGCATGAAAAAAGCAAAACAAAACAGGCTTCTGGGTCATGATTTATAGAAGGAGACACAATTGCAGTTTTTTAAAAATATCCACATTATTGGTGCTTTGAACACCACAAGATGAATGCTGTGTAGTTCCACTGAATTCAAGAGAAAGGCAGCTAGTATCTCCAAAACTGGGAAAATATGGGAAAATGTGTGAAGTTCCTTTAAGTGTGCTCATACTTTTTAAAGATGAAGCAAACTGTTGTCTCATATGGCACCGCGCAAAGTTAGGGCTCAGTAACACAGACCTGAAGATCAATCAGTAATCCCCGCAACCTCTAGTCGTGAGGGACAAATGTGGATTCGTTGAGCCATTGGTGAATGGTTGCTTGTGGTTGGTGGCCGCCACCAGGTAAATCGTTGCCCGGAGATGCTGACTCATCTGCAAAGACTTGCCATTCACTCGCCAAGATGTTGTGAAACTTAATAGTGTGAAGCTGAAACTGCCTTCAAAGTAAAAGTGACTTACTACTGATACCAACTCAGTTTAAAGTGCACAGTTTTTACTTTAAGGGCCAAAGGTCTCCATTTCAAATTTGCATCGCAGTTTTGACAGTTTCACTTTGCTTTTTGAGTAGTTGGCGAGTGTTAACAGACAAGTCAGCATGACTGAGGAACTCTGCTTTTGACTGAAGCAATCGCAAGGAAGTTTTTAGTGCTGCACTGTATATCTCCATGTAACCATTTTGACATTACCAACCTCAAAAAAACAGCTTTCAGTCAGAATGCACACTTCAGCATAGCTAACCAGATGTCACCGCTTGGCGTCTAGGCCTGTGTGACTGAGGATTTAATATATATGACAATACCACAACAAAGATGTTGGAAAACAAATCAATATCTTTACAAAATGTAGGCATGCAGACTTTGTTCTCTTTGAGTGCAGCAGGCTGTTAGCTCAGTAAGCATAGATTTGATGATTCCAAAACATCTCAAGTGCATTTGGTTTAAAATTTAAAATGTTTTCATCAAGGTTACTGCAGGAGCATTACATGTTGTATCACGTGCTGAAATTATTACACCAATTATACTGCAAGGTTTTGCTGCCTTTCTGTTTTATTTGTGTTTATACTGAAAATCTCAAGGTTCAGGAACTTGTGATTTTTAAAAATCTCAAGTTCCTGTTTTCTTGGCATATTAAGCACATTGTTGGCCCTGACAGGAAAACCTCTTCCACCAACATGTGATGTAAAGGTCTCTAAACGTTTTATTTGTTGTCCAAATTGAATCACACTTTAGGATAAATATCACACTTTTCAAACTTCACCAAATCACCAAATCAGTGCTTGCTTGAAAACGCTGCCAACTGCTTCTTCTTGGTCATAACCCAAACAAAAATAACCCAAAATACACTATTAAAGGGGACCTGTTATTGCTTTCTTTACTATTTTTGGTCATTCACAATAATTCACACATTTTTTTTCTTTATGTTTTGCATGGAAAATTGGAAATAGGAGCAGTATAGTGGAGCATGTGCAAACACAAATGCAAAGTTTGGCCATTATGAAACAGCTTGAAAGTCAATATTTGGTATGACCACCTTTATTCTTTTAGGCAGTTTTCTTGTTATTTCTTGAAGTAGTCTTCAAGGATAGTTCTCCAGGCTTCTTGAAGGATATTCAGAACTCTTCTTTGGATGTTGGGTGCCTTTTGTCATGATGAACCCGCACTGCTTCAGTAATATTGAGCTCAGGAGCAGCAAACTCATGACTGGTACCGTTCCATTGTGTGATTTTCTATTCGGGTGTGCTTTCTGTGCATTGGCACACCTGAATAGAAGCCATTGGCAATCAAATGCTTTCCAGATGGAGTTGCATGGTGTGTCAAAATCCAATAGTACTTTTCTGTGATCATAATTCCATCAATTTTGATAAGATCACCAACACCACTGGTTAAAATGGAGCCTCAAACCATGACAGAGCCTCCACCATGTTCCTCAGATTGCTGGAGACACTCATTGGTGTCCTTGCCTCGTCCGTACATGTAGAAAACTATTTGAACCAAAAATGTAAAATTTCGATTTATCACTCCATAAGAACTGTTGCCAGTGATTTTCAGCTATGTCCATTACATCAACCCTTTCTCCCTATTTCCCTTCCATAAGAGCGGCTTCTTGACAGCCACTCTTCCCCTGAGACATTTTCTAATGAGGCTTCAGCAAACAACAGATGGATCAGCTGAAGGGCCAGATTCATCTCCAGGTCCTGTGTTAGGTCTTCGTTGGATATTTTTCTTCTTAAATTTCTTAAAGACATGATTTTTTGGTAGTCTGTTGGCTATATATATATGTATATATTTTACACCTTTCACTTCTTCTTTTGTCCTTCATTTGTCAGGTTTCTTCAATTTTGTTTAAGACAGTGCACATCATGGCAGGAGATTTAAATTGTTGAGCTAGTAGGTCTTTGGGAATCACCTTGTTGGTGCAGAAATATGATTTTATTCCTTTTAAACTGTTATCTTTGGTGTTTTTCATAGATTCAGCTATAGGAATATGCTTATGCAGCAGCTTGCTACTAGCAAAGTGCCTACTGTAGATATACAATTTAAAACTGGTTCTTTGCTAGGTTGTTACTGTAGACATAACAGTGGTTAATGCTTTGAGTTAGGTGCCTTTTTATACTTGAACGATTTAAGGGTTCTCTGAAAATGGTCAGGTACAAGGACTGGACTAAAAATGAAAGAAAAAGCAGGAAAATTGCCAAAGAAAACAGTGATTCATGTAAAGCTACTCTGGTAGAGTCCAAGAATGAAAGTTCTGAGCTGTAAATAAGCATGATAGGTCCCCTTTACACAATGATAACTCATGTCACAGAAAATATACTGTGAAATGGCGATACATTTACAGGTTAACTGAGACATTTGGTGTTGGTTGAAAAACCACTTAAAGTGAATTAAAGCATGTTGCCATGGTATATATTTAATGTAAAACTACTTGATGGGTCGAACTGCATAACCAGAGCCTTTTACCTACCGCTGATAGACTAAAGGAGGGACATTTCTACGACAGCAGCAGATTGACCTCTAAACTTCACTGCAGAGTGGACTGTGCTTACCTCTTTGTTATGAGCGTTTTATGAAACTGTATGGCTGTGTCAGCAAAAGAAATGTGAACTTCACACGAACGGCTGCTGAGTGAGAGAGAAAGAGTGGCGAGGTCTTTCAGATGAATGAGGAGAACGTCGGCTATTTGAGGCCACTTGACTCTTTCTCTCCCTCCTCTCATGCAGCTGTCATCGACAACTGCTCTTCAACTCAGCGAACACACACATGGACGCACACTGTCCTACTGTGCAGTGTCCGAGCCAGGCCCACGGACTCGATAAAGGGAGCATTTAGTGTGAGCAGAGTCCCGCCCTACTGGGACAACTGGTGCGATGTAAGTGGAGGGAGCAGAGGACGAACACACAACTGTCAAAAGTAATTTGTGAGCTTGGATGTATGTACAGGCGTGTGTCTATTTCTATACTTACAAGGGTCACAATATCCAGCCAGCCCAAAAACTGACAACAATTCAGGCATCATTTTGTCGTTTGCACTCTACACACTAATTGTAAGATGTCGATTATTCATAGGATTATACTAAAGGTTCAGGATAAATGGCATTATTTTTTCTGGGTTTAAATGAATTTGCTTACAGAAATACTGTGTGTGAGGCTGCAGCCTGATATAGCTTCTGTGTCCTATGTCTTTGATTTTCATTGTCCAAATTACACACAAGACAATTTGCTTAAATGTAATGAACATGGCTTTGGTAGTGAAGTCTGTTTCTGTCCTGCATGGTCCACGGGAAGTATCTGGTTACACTGGGAAGTGGATCAGAAAACTTGTTTTGAGCCTTCTCTTAAACAAAAGCTAACAGAAACTTGGTGGCAGTCTCCTGAAAAGGTAAAGTTAGCAGTTGGTTAACAGCATAAATTTGTATAGTTAACCAAAATTAAAACTGACCAAAGAATCATAAACCATTTCAGTGTAACCCCATCAAATGGATTACACTGAAAATAAGCTAATAAAATAAGCTGAAAGTAAGTTTAAAAAAGATTTCATATGTTTTTCCTTATTTTCTGTTATATATACATACAGTTAAAATTGGGAATGTTCACATTCACCAAGGCCTGTGGTTCAAATAATGAGGTCAGCATGCAAACAAGTAATCCATGTGAGCCAAAATCTCAGGCTTCACTTTCAGGCAGTTTTTTTCTTCTCCCGGTATGAGATCAAAAAGATTGGATATCGCTAATGTGGCCATCTGCTGTTAAACCTTTATGTTTAAAAGAAGCAGCAAAGAGAAAAAAAATAGATAAATTGGCTTGTTTCAGACAGAGGATCATCTGAGAGAGGCAGGGCCAGCATAACATAAATAAGGATTGTTTCGAACTACAAAGCTTATGTTTCTCAGTCAGTGGCTCATTCATTAGCTTCTTGACTTCCAGGTGAATTTCTTTCACAATTATAGATGTTCAGCGGGGAAAGTTTTACGGGACACTTGCCACCTTGAATTCACTGATTCCTCCATGCCATTTGAAACCACCCCAGCCTCCTCATTATGTACTCTTGGCATTGTTGACTTAGGTATTGAGATGCCCTCCTTGAAAAGCTAAGAAACACTCCCCCTGTCTTCTCTCTCCAGCTGTGCAAATTTTATTGATAATCTACAACCACAGGGGCACAACAAATAAGAAAAAATCATGTTAAATTTGACCGACAACATACTAGTAACATAAAGTAAATATTTATTAAGGCAGGAGAAAGTTTGTCCCTGCTGATATCGAGCTAGATCACACCGTTTTTCATCTATCCAGCCACATTTGGTACTGTAGGTCCCATCTAAATTCACTCATTGTTTTGGATTTCTGTTTTTTAATAAACACAAAAGAACTTTTCTTGAATGTGCCATGCTTTTTTTTTTAACCAGCTGTTTTTGGCTGTAATACTTCCTGGAGGAAGCATGCAGGTCTCAGACCTCTTGCAGTTTTACATCTTGTTTTGGTTGTGTTTTTATTTTTAAAAAAAAGAGATAGAAAAAAATCATTTGTCAGGCCAGTAATGCATTTAAAACAAGTCCTTACAAGAATAGCAATGTGTTATTTTGCATCGTGTGTATCTGTGTACGTCTGAAGTGACCACCTCTGCAGCCATTTATGTGAAACTGTGAAATACTACTCTGTCATTTTGTAAAATACCATTTTCCGGGTACATTCTGTAAATCAACAGCCACAGCATGCAGCAGTGTTCTCTGTGAATATATTGATATATGACCTGAAGTATTGTTTCTGTCAATCTTGCTCCAGTGTAAAGTCTTTG